GCAGCAGATTGGGATGTTGATTGTTGGGACAATTTGTTCCTGTTGGAGATATGTCAGACTTAAAGGGAGCCTGTGCGTCTTGATGATTGGCTCTCCCTCTGCCCTGCACCCTGTACAGCAGAGCAGGACTGAGTTTGCAGCTCCGTTTCCTCCCCAGAGGCAGTGCGTCAGGGGCTGAAATAGGAGCGCAGCCCACCTCCCGCCCCCACAGTCCCTCTGCCTCTGCAGCTGAGGGAGCAGAGCGGCACCTAAACACAAATCAATTATTACACAGCTCTTAAAAACACACTCTAGATTATAACTTCTGAAAAATAATGATGCATGCCACGGAGGTGAGTGAAAAACTCCCCTCAACACAGACCATGAAAGGATCTGTGACGTCTACAGCTATAAATAGGGATACAAACGAATAAATAATCGATTATATTAATGTTGAATGCACGATGTGATGGAGATGAAGAACTTAAGAGAACTGTCTTCTTCCAGAACGTGTAGCTTTGACCCGTTTACTGCTTAATGTGGTCCAAACTAAACACAAGCAAATTGAGTATTTTGTTGTTTCCTCCCTATTCGATTAATCGCAAGAGCTGTTTATTTTATGAGGTGGTATAACTTAATAAGTTCCTATGATAGGTGGGTCCATTACGCGCTTATTTATGAGCAACCTATACAACCTGCCAAAGGAGTTATGGGCCATAGACCACCAGAAGGAAATCAGCCACTTAAAGTGAGAGTGTGCGCATGTGTGAGTCTGAGAGGCTGGTATAAAACACCACATGGTTAAAAACTGCAAGATTTAGCAAAAAAAATTGGGTGAGTATCTTCATTTGGGAAAATCCAGGATGCGTTTATGTAAAGAAATTAAACAAAGAGTGAGATGTGAAGTGCTGATGGGATTTTTCTAATGCGTGTAAAACTGAAGAACAGGAGAAATAAATGAATTTCTGCGTCACCGCATGACTTTTCCCTCTTTGCCTGCTGGGCGCATTTATATTTCAGAGATTAGACGGGCACCACACTGGCTCCAGTGTTTTCTGTGGGCTGAAACACTAAACCAATCCATTAGTAAATGAGTTCTGAGCCACACTGGTTCTTGGTGGTGCAGTTGTTGGTTTGAGCCTCACGGATCACGTTTCTTTATCTGCACCAAAAGTCTGAAACAGAACTCCCCTTCAGCATTCATGCCGCATAACTGTGCGCTTTATTGAGGGTTTTTATTTATGTATCCTTCTCCAAAATATTTTAAAACTCATTTTATAGAAGAGGTTAAAGCAGTTTTCAGAATGAGTTAAAAGACGTATAAAGGATAATATTGTGCTTGTTAATTATTCTAACAATTTATAAAGAAATTATATATATAAAAAAACATTTGAATGAAGGGAGAGCTGACAAACATAACCAGAATTAATTATTTCTGGTTTACAATAAGGCTCCATTTATAGATGGCTGATCATAAATATGATTAATTAATCTATATAAACATTTTATAAATCATTAGTAAGTGTTTATTATGCATTAAGTAAGAGTGAGAAGGAGCATTTACAAATGCTTATTGTGCTTAAACGGTCTGAAATGTTTAGTATGACACTAAATAGAAACCACAGGTTTTGTCTCCTCCTCACCATTAGTTAATCAATTAAGTCGATTAATCAAGTGTATTTGTGCAGAACATTTCAGCAGTTCAATGTGCTTCACATCATAAAAACACCAAATAAAAACACCACATAAAAATGAATTAAACCTACACACAGTGAACAATTGAGAAACTTTACATTTTCACCACCGCCACCATCAAAATCATCAATACACGTTCAACATATTGGTCAATGCTCCATTTATTAATGCATAATAAACGGTTATTAATGATTTATAATTTTATTTAATACAAATATCTATGAAATATTTATTAGCCATCTTACTGTAAAGTGATGATTCACAATTTTGTACATGTTTTTTTGGGTAAAATTGTTGGAAAAATACTAAATATATTAATATGTTTCATTTTATTTCTTTTAAGAAATATTTTTTTAATATAAAATTTTGTTTCAATTAGGAGAATTTTTTTTTTAATTTTTTAATTTTTTATTTTTTTGCGTGCATAAAACTAGGTGTGAAATGCGCGTGTTTGCGCAGGACACGTTGCGTGGACTGCAGTGGGCTCCGGCTGCGTCTCGGCTGTGTAAAACCTCAGTGCTTCAGTAAATGAGCTGTCTGATGAGCGCCTCTCGGGTTTCTCTAATATCTCTACCACATTGCGCCGCGCCTCCTCCTTTAACCCCCGCAGCCCGGGGGGCCAGATTATTTCAAGATGTGGACTCTCCGCCTCCTCCACTGCGGCGGCCAGCGCTGCTTCTCACAACCCGGACACGTAAAGCAATCCCGGGGCAGTCGATCACTCGGAACTGCTCTCAGAAAGAGGCTTACATGCAGAAAGGATTCATTTCTCCCCCTCTCTTCTCTCTCTGGACTCTTTATTAACTTTTAAAAAACGGACACAATGGCAGCTTTTGTGCTGCTGAAATCTTAGATGTTCAGATTTTAGGGAGTCAGAACATTTTCATCGTGAAAAAAGAGTAAATCAGCCATTTATCCTAAAGTGGTTTTCACAGATTTAAGATGGGCAGGAAATTGTTTACAGAAATCATAGTGATAGTCAAAGTCTTTTTTATTTTTTTATTTTTGCAATTAAAAAAGGAGACGATGAAAGATGAATTAAAAAAAAGGAAATCAGCTCTTAAAATTGTCACCCTGAAAAAGTATTTTTCTTTCTTTTTCTTATTTTTTATGAATGAGCACAGCTTTAATGAATCATATCTGATAGCAGATAGCTTTAGACTCAAAACAAACATCCATCCTCAAGTTTTTCTTAACCATTAAACGTCTTCTATCATTTATTTCCCTAAGTAAAATGAGCAAACAGCGCATCATTTTTGCTATTTCTAAGAAAAATAATTAGAAATGTTGAAGTGGAGACATCCAGAGAAGAGGGAAAAGTGCAGCTCCTTCCATCAAAACAAAACACAACTGTTGACATGAGTGAGTTAAATGAAATTGGAGCTGCAATTATCAGCTTAACAGAGTTTCCTGTCATGTTGGAAAATTAGACCTGGTACAAGTGCGCTGGGGTTAGAGCCCCCCTTCCTGCACCATCAAAATCATTACGCATTTCCTCAGAGGGCCCACCTCCACAAATATGCAATTAAGAGGCGGCTTTTACAGAGCTCTGCCTCGGTAAACACACCCCGGGTGTGCAGATGAGGACATTTGTTTTAAAGAGGCTCCGTTTTCTGGCTGCAGGGCTGATAAATAAACAAACGAGGCAGGCGGACAAACACAAACAAACAAAATGAAGGATTTAAACGCGGCTGAGATGAGATGTGGGTGCTGGCAGGGAGGGGGCGCTGTGCAGTCACAGTCGTTCTCCGGGGTTGTTGCCGTTTGAGGAGTCGTGCGGCAGCTGTGATCCTCTCTGGTCATCCGGGCTCCTGCTCCTGTTACAGCCTGCTGGTTTCTCTTTGGGAAACACCTCTGACGGCCCTGATGCTGCCTCACAGCTGCTGCTGCCTCCTCCTCCACACATGCACGCTTAAAACTGTCCGCATGAGTTATGCTTTCTGCCCCATGCCATCCAGGACAAATCGGTGAATCATGCGCTGGTTGCATGCTTGCAGCTGAGTGACGGGCGACAGCAGATAGTTGCTAGAGTCAGGAAACCTCCCAACTACTGTCCGATAGTTAGAGGTGACCTACTGAGAACAGTTTAGGATCTACACAAAACATGTCTGTCACATCTTTTATTTTTACACAAAATCATTCTTTCACTGCAAAAACACAAAATCTAACCAAATGTCTTCGGTTGAATTTTTAGTGAAAATATCTTTGTACATTAAAATGAGACAAAACTAACTCAAAAGTAACTTTTTAACAAAATGTAGAAGCTTGTTGTAAGTAAATTATTCCTTGTTACTTCCTCTGGTAGATTATTTCACTTATAAAAATACATTTTCACTTCTTGTATGAAATAATCTACCAGAGGAACTACAACTTTTTCAGTATTAAGGAATCATTGATTTAAAACAAGCTTGCATTGTTAAGGGTCACTTGTAAGTTAGTTTAGTCATATTTTAAGTATACTAAGATATTTGTGGTAGAAATTAAAACAAAAATAGACAAGATTTTGTGTTTATACAGCTGTTTTGTTGCCTCTTGTCACTTTAAATCCAAATAAGTTGCTTCTGGCCACGCCCCCTACTCCATGTATACACTGGCACAAAATGGCTGCTAACAGATGCGCAATTATGCAACCGTGCATCTTAGAAAAGCAGACATAGAGCCTCCTGCACAACCAACAACAATGTAACAAGTGGTTTCATTGGATGGTAAATGAACAAAAAAGCGTTTGTCTTTTCCAGCAGCCATTGTACAGCGCATATAACTGTTGACTGAACCGTTATATGCGCTGTACATATACAGCGGGGTTGCTAGGGGTTGCCTAGCAGCCCCTAGAGTTCTGGAGTTGCTAGGTAACTGTGCATTAACCATAGATTGGGACTCAACAATCTGTTTTTTTTTTAATGGCTCGTTTTCCAGACACCAAAAACAAACAAAAAATTACTTACTGCCAAAAAAACAACCCAAGCTTTTTGTAAACGCTTGGTTTGTCTTTACAAGCAGTAGAAATCAAAATGGAAGTATAAAAACATATAAAATGTGTATTTTGTGTAATACTTTCCCTCTAAAGCAACATAATTTGATTCCGCCGCTGAGTATCGGAGCAAACAGACGATGTTTCTGGCAGAACCAGGTTGGTTAAAAGTGGTGGGTCTGCAGCCGGCTGGTACCCGCTGACCCCCTGCCCTCTCATTAGTGGGACGTAGAGTGGTGGAGTACCTTGCTCCCCAGGTCATGTTACATGCGGCTTGCAGTCTGCTGCGCCGCATTAAATGTCAGCTTTGAAACCATCTGAAAGATCAGGGGTCAGTGTTTTTAATAAGGCCAAAGTTCTGGGAGGAGCTCCCTCTCTTTTACAGCTCAGGTTTTATGTTTGTCGATTTAAATTGTGGACAAAATGACACACTGATTCAAAGATATAGAATTATCCCGGTTTTTCTGGTTTTCATCTTTGTTCTGCTGAACACAAAAGGTTGAATTTGGAGTTTTTCCTCTGGCCTCCTCCCCGTGAGAGCCGCAGACTGTGGAGCCTCTGCTGCAAATGGGATATTGTTCTGGGCTCCAACAAAGCTGTTTTCACCCTCTTCAATATTACAGGAGGAGTCACCCGATACCCAACAATCAGCTAATCCACTGCCCATGGCGACGAGGTCACCTGTGCACAGGTAACTTTATCCTGGGTGCCTGCCTCTCCCTCCCTGCTTCCCGCTATAGTCGCTGCCATTTCCCCCTCCCTCCTTCGCCGAACCTCAACGGTGAGCACAGACAAGCAGCCTCTGTTTATTTAGGTCAGCCGTTAGATCTTATCCCACGAATCCACAGAGAAAAACATTAAAAAATGACATTTCTGCCTCCATCTTGACTCTCCACTCAGGTCACACTGCAAATAAATTAGTAGACTTGAAATGAGACAAAACTACATTAAAGTAACTTTTCAGTGAAAAATAGGAGCTAGTTTTAAGTAAGTCATTCTTTAAAACTGATAAAAGAAAGTACAAGTTCCCCTGCAAATTTAAACAAATCCCTGTGAGGATTAATATTCAAAAAATCATCCAGAAAGTTGTTTTACCACAGGGTGTACCACAGGGCTCTGTACTTGGACCACTTCTTTTTCACTTTATCTCCTGACACTGAGGCCTATCCTTTAAAAATATTATTTAACTTATAAGAAGACATTTTTCCATGTTATAAATAAAATAACCAACCAGTGGAAATAGTACTTTTTTATCATTATTTTATCTTATTGGAATGTTACTTTTACATTTGTTTTTGTTTTTTGTCTTTACTGCAAAAACACAAAACATTACCAAGTATTTTCATTCTACTTTCTAGTACAAATATTTCAGTTCACTTGAAATGAGACAAAACTAACTTAAAGGAAACTGTTTAGCAAGATAAAGGAGCTTGTTTTAAGTAAATAATTCCTTAATATCGATGAAAAGTTTCCAGTTCCACTGGGAGATTATTTCTTTTATAACATGGAAAAAAAGTCTTGCTATAAGTGAAATAATCTGCTAATTGAAACAATAATATTTAATCTATATTGAGGAATTATTGACTTAAAACAAGCTCCTATTTCTTGCTGAAAAGTTACTTGTAAGTTAAGATATTTACACTAAAAGCTAAACTAAAACTACTCGGTCAGAGTTTGAGTTTTTGCAGTGTGGGAGGAGTTTTGTTTGTATTGTTCAAAAAGACAAAAAATAAAAACCAGCACCCGATGTACAAGACATTGCTGAATAAATTATTTTAAAAGTAATTATTGATTCTAAACAAGCTCCCATATCTTACTTGTATGTTAGTTTTGTCTCATTTCAAGTGTAGAGATGTATTTACACTAGAAATATTTGGTAAGATTTTGTGTTTTTGCAGTGTGGACACGTATTGAAACGGGAAATTTACAGTAAATTCCCCCAAATTTGCAGGAAGAGCTGAGTGAGTGACAGCAGCTCACATGTCGAGGCGGTGGGGTTTGGCTTTCGCTTCAGGAGAAAAACTTTTGGTTTGGCCTGAGCTGAGGGAAGTTTTTGGACCCCCCACCCAAATGGAGCTTTACTTCTGGAAATCTCATTGCTGTTTATTTGAATTACAGAGGCTGAGATGAGAAAAGGAGGCCTAATGAAGTCCAGGTTGTGGAGCATGTGCAAACTATCACCACAGGTCTGCAGAAAGCTGCAGAAGGCTTGCTGGATTACTGCACGCTTCCCCCCTCGCCGTCCTTTCAATCTGGCAACGCTGGACTTTTAAATATCGGGAGGACATGTGCTTTCTGTTGTAAACTCACATTCTTTACTGTGTCGCTAAAATCTCCATGATCCCATATTGCTATTAGTCATCATAAAATCACATCAGGAATAAAACTTCCTTCTTCGTTGTCTTTTTTTTTTTACGTTTTTATAAATATAAACTTTTATTGCAGTACGTAGATTTAGAAAAATACATTCACATAATTTCAGATAACAAACATATAATTCAAGCTAAGATAAAAAAACAAACAAAAAAAACCAACAAAAAAGACTTTTTGCTCATAATTTTTGGTTTATACCATTAAAGCACTGAGGATACTTTCACTGAAAGGTCCGCTCAGACATCCTGATGACGGGAAGGCATGAAAACATATGATCAGTTGGCTGTAAGGCTGAAATGTGTTCATGTAAGAACCTCAGGTCCTGTTGGGAAACTGTTGGACAAATGGCCTTCAGTTAAAGGTCACCTATTATGCTTCCATTGACATGTTAGGATGGGCTAAATCCAAACATATCTGTCACATTTTCTGCACAAAATCGTTCTTAGATGATGAGATTTTAGTCAATTTTGAGTCCCTATAAGAATGAGCTGATTTAGCGTCTCTGTCACTTTAAATACAAATAAGCTGCTGCTGGCCACGCCCCCAGCCAACAGATGCACAATTATATAACCGTACATCTTTGAAAAGCAGAAGTGGAACCTTCTGCGCAGTCAACAAGAATGCAGCAAGGGGTTTCTGGATGGTAAATCAACAACAAAGCACTTTTTTTTCTAGCAGCCATTGTGCAGCGGATACAGCGGTAAAACCAGCTGACCACACGTGCTGGGGCTTGACTTTGCTTGGGTTGGTAGGTAACGTTGTAACGCCTGTAAAATGTGACTTTTTTGAAATGGCTCACTTTCTAGACACCAAAAAACCCTAACCCTAACCCATAAAAACGACCAAAATGTGAATTTTGCATAATAGGTCCCCTTTAAGGAAACCTTCAGGCAGAGGCTGCAGACCTCTGGAGCTGATTTCTGTTCCACTTTGACTGAATCCCTCACAGCAAATGTTAAAAGGCACTCATTTAATGAAATAGTTTGATGCTGTGCAAAGATAAATGATTTCAATCAGTTTTTTTTATCCTAAAGCCGTTTCAGCCTGGCTTTGTTTTAAAGCCAGTTAACCCCTCGGGTTCCTACATGTTTCATGTAGAAATTCAGGAGTTTTCCAAACTCAGTCTTTTATGTTCATTTTAAACTATAAAACACAAAAGAGTCACTTTGGATTTACTTTCTACAGTGGATAAGCTTTGAATAGGGAAACAAGGACACAATGAAGGAAAGAAGAAAGGAGACAATGAAGGAAGAATGAAGGATACAAGAGTGGAAGAAAAGGAAAAAAAAACATTAAAGAAACCAATAAAAGGTGCAAGAAAGTAAAAAAGAGACAAATGATGGAAGGAGAAAGGAAAGAAGGAAGGAAGAGTGCAGGATGGATGGAAAACAAAAGACATAAGTGAAGGATGCAAGGAAATAAAGGACACAAGGAAGTTACTTAAGAGACAAGGAAGGACGGAAGAAGGACATGGACACAAAAAAGGACACAAGGAAGGAAAACAATGTTATTTCCTGAAAGGAAATAAGAAAAGGACACAAAGGATACGAAACAAGGGAGCAAAGAAGGAAGGAAATAAGAGAAAGACAATTAAATAAACAAGAACAGAGACAAAGAAGGAAGAATTAAAGATCCAAGGATGGAAGAAAAACACAAAAGACACCAGTGAAAGACACAAGGAAATAAAGAAAGGACACAATGGGGGATGTTAGATACGAAACAAAGAAGGACAGAAGAAAGGAAGGATAACCAAGAAACAATTCAAGGAAGTATGGAAGGACGCAATAGAAGATATTAGGTAAAAGATAAGGAAGGAAAGAAAGATGTAGGACACAAGGATGAAAGAAAACATGAAAAACGGCAATGAAGGATGCAGGGAAATAAAGGAAGGGCACAATAAAGGAAGTTAGGTAGGAGGTAAGGAAAGAAGGGAGGAACAAGAGAAGAGAGGAAGGAAGGATACTACATTTAGATAGTGGAATGGGTAAAAAGTCTAGAAAAATAAATATTTTTCCAAAAATCTTATTTTGTTTTGCTTATCAAACTTATCCACTCTTGGGAAAAAGACTGAACTCAAACTCTAAACTTCTCCCGTCTCTGCAGGAACCCTGAAGCTGCAGCGCTACAAACGGCTCAGGATGAAAGACGTCATCGTTTCTGTGTTTGTGTCATGACTTGATGATGGGACTGGAAACAGGAGCCAGGGCTGCAGCAGCGGGCTTTTCTTCTGGACGAGCCGCGCATGGCAACCCGTTCATGTCTTCTGGACGAGCCGCGCATGGCAACCCGTCCAGCACAGTGGTTGTTTCAAACATCGTAATGCCACAGCAATAGCGCAAATGCCAAACAAGAAACAAGCTGTTGGGTATTTTTAGCCGCCGAAAGGCACATATGTCTTCACTCTTCCACAGTCAAGGTTTCTAATAGGTTATAAAATGCAAAAGCAGCATTTTGTATGGACTTGAGAAGCTTTTAGAGACATTAAAATGTGTCCTCAAGGACACTTTTCTTCCTAAATCAGCAACTTTTCTGTGTTTGTTCACCAATTCCTTACAGTCCTTCAGTGAAGCTGTTCAGCTAGTAGCTTTCTCCCTCTCCCCCCTCCAGAGTGACCTTTTTGGTTCGACCCACATGATGCATTTGGTTTGGAGGAACATCCCGGTCACGTGACCCGAGGCATTCCAGCACCTGCTTCTGCAGATCACATCCACTCAACAGGAAGTAGCAGGTGCTGTCTATAAAAATGTTCATTTAAAGAAGCTCAGACTCAATGCAGCGGCTACTTCTCATCGCTTAGAGAAGCCTCATCCACACGTAGCCGGGTCTTTTAGACAACAAATATCTACTATTCTGTTAGGGCTGTTGTAGATAGTAAATTTCAACCAAAAAACTCAGAAAGTTTGTCTGTTCTTAGAAATGTTCTAAGTTGAAAATTTTACATTTTTGGTACATTTCTCTGGTTCAAAAGCTGAAAATGTTTTACTTTGAAACTCTGAAATTTCCATGATTTTTCTAGAAAATTTCTGAGATCAATCTCAAAATTTCAGTTTTTCTTGCAAATTTTCAACATTTGGAGCCCAGAAATTTTCTTTTTTTTTTTTCTAGGAAATTTGAGATCAAGTTAAAGATGTTTTCTTTTTTTCTTGCATTTTTAAACTTTTAGAGCTCAGAAATTTCCTTGTTTTTGTGGTAAATGTATAAGATTAATCCACAAAAAGTTTTTTTCTTGGAATTTTTCAACTTTTAGACCCAAGAAATTTCCTTGTTTTTTTCAAGAAATTTTCTGAAATCAATCTCAAAATTTCTGAGCTTTTCTGCTGAAAACTCTACTATCTAGGATGACCCTAATTCGCCGTCGTAAATATCTCCGCCATATTGTTAATTAATATCGAAAACAAGGGACCGGTTACGTCCCTGGGCGTTGTATTAAACACGCCAAACCCATAGGGGGCAGTGTAGTGCAAAACTAAAACATACGTCAGCCAATCAGATCGCTTCAAAACAGTCACTACTTTCTGTTAGGAGTCAAACATGGCGCCTGGAGGTTCACTTATGCAGACGGATATACAAGTTGAACTACTTTTAAATAGCTTTTTAGACTATAAAGGCAATAAAATACAAACCGATGCTGTTTGGGAATAATGTTAAAGCAAGTTAGTGGATACATTGACGCATTATTTGCCGCAAACTGTAATACATGGGACCCTAAACACAAATACAGAGTTTTATTTTTAATATGTCTGAAACGTAATTGTTTTTAGTGATATTAAACAGAGTTTTCGTGTGGATGAAACAGCATAACTTATAAAAATGTATTTGTTTTCTCAGATATCGGGCTACATGTGGACGAGGCGTCACTGGTTCTTCACATGAATGTTTTTTAACACCTCACAGCCTCTTTTATTTTTACGTTTTTGTAAAAAGCTGAAGCAGCCCACCCACACGGATCCTTTCTGACTAGAGTGCATTTCAAAAGTGAAAATAAAAGCAAATAATTTAAAGGAAATCAATGCTTAAAAACTCACACACACACTCACACGCACACAGAAGAGTAAAAAGATTCCTCATATGACTGCCCAGGTGGATGTGAGTGCTTCAAAGTCTGAGGTTAAAGGTCGGACATGCCCTCGTCCATCTGCACAGTCTGTAGTTTGGCTAGCTCCTTCCCCTCTTCCAGCTCCCCACACATTGCCCGCACCATCTCGTTCATCCCACCGGCCCCCGAGCCGTCCGCCTTGCTGTCCGGCAGGTTCATGTAGTCACTGTTCATCCCGGGGCCCATCAGGTGTGAGGGCGGGGCCCCTCGGTGCACCTCGTGGGAGCCCAGGTACTCCGCCGGCTGCAGATGGTGATGGGCGTCCTGGTCCGTCGGAGCCATCAGAGGCGTGCTGTTGGTGAGGGTGGTGTAGACCTCCGGCTCGGAGCTGGACGAGCTGACGGTGACGTCGGCGGCATGGCTGGAGGCCGAGTCGGGGCTGGTGTAGCTGATCTGACCGCTGGGGTCCAGGTGCAGCCCGGCGTGGTACGAGGAGTAAATCCCGCCGTCCAGAGGCTCCTTCTTGATGGCGGTCTGGTTGCTCAGACTGTAGAGGACGCTGTTGTGGTGCAGAGACGTCATGGCTAGCTTGTCCTGCGGCTGGAAGGAGTCTTCACTAGACGAGCTCACCACTGCGCTGTTCAGAGACATGTTACCTGTAAAAACAGGAAGTAAAGTTAAAACCAGGCTATGGCTGATTAATCGTGATTAATCAATTAATAAAATAATCGTTAGCTAACTATTGATTAATCATTATCTGGAGTTTACAGACTCAAAAAAGAAAGCCATTTCCTGAAAAAACCCCAACATATTCAGAACAATTAAACCAAAACTGTACCAAATAAATATACATTTTGCATTTTAGATATAAAAAAACATTCATCTGTAAATATGTTTTGCGTAAAACTCCTCAAGTGGGATAGTTTTAACTTCACCCGGTTCTTTTTTTGAAAGGAATTGAATTATCTGTTTATTTTTAATCTTTTAATGTATTTCTAAAAAGCATAAGTGGTTAAATAAAACACTTTTTTATCCACTTACTCAATTAATCATCAGAATAATCAATAGAATAATCAATTACTAAGATGATCGTTAGCTGCAGCCCTAAAACAGATGTTTACATTCATGGGGACTTTTGATTATGTTGTTCAAGAAGACAAAAAAAACAGCAGCCAAGATATTACTGAATAAATTATTTGAAAAGAAATGATTTACTTTAAACAAGCTCTGATATCTTGCTTAACAGCTATTTGTATGTTAGTTTTCTCTTATTTCAATACATTTGCACTAGAATCTAGACCAAAAGTACTTGAAAAGACGTCATGTTTTTGCAGTGTATAAAAAGTCACAATTTTTTTTATCTTCGTCATCAAATTATTTCAAAATCTTGCTGTTTTATTTCAGTTAGGATTAAAAAACACTTTCCATGTTGCGTCAGTATTTCCCTATCATGTTCTTTCCTCTTGGTGCCAGCAGTACACCAGTAACTCCTGCAGCAAAACACCCACAAACCATGATGCTGCCACCGCTGTAGATCAGTTATCAGTTTCCTCCACATTCTCATGCAGCTCATGCATGAAGGTCACCTTCACAGGGGTTAGGGTTAGAACTGGAGTCAGAAAGGTCAGCAGTTTTTCTCCCAGATATCTTAGATGATTTCTTTAGATTTTCTGTAGATAATGTCACAGAAGGAAGCCTTGTGTTTGAGGTGTTGATTAAAATACATCCAAAGATTTAACACAATTAAAAACTTTCTATTGTCAGTTTCCTCCAAGGCAAGTCTATTTGCCTATTTATTGATTTAATTGTCAAAGGTTATTGTTACTGTATCAATACTGCTCTCTAATTAAGTTTTTATTCCTCCCCTTTAATCAGAAGCTTACAGGGTCATGACATCATCATCTGGGCTTTTCCCAAATAGTTTAGTAGTCTTAGTGATTAAGTTTCTGAATTTGAAGAAACTTACACAAACTTTCTTTTTTTAAAAAGTCTCGTTATTTTAAGCAAATTTAAATAAGTTTTGTGATTCTAACTCTCCTAAAACAGAAAGAACTGGTCTAATTTAAAGTCCGACAATATGAGAAAAATGTTTAAACAATATATGTTAGACCTCATTACTTCTTTAGATCTGTTGTTTAATTCTCAATGTTTTTCATTTCCCACACATTTTACTTTTTATGCTGCCTTTAATTTGACAGGTAAGTCTTTTTGAGACAAACTAAGCTAATTGTTAAAGCAGGAAATAACCAGTGCAATTCATAAACCAAAAGCACGAGACGCCAGCAAGAAAAAAAATGGGAAATAAACATTTACTGATGTTTTCTCAGTTGCTCTAAAACCCATTAGTTAAATTAATCTGCACAGCATTAGGTAGCAGAATATTTTTTTTCAAGATGAGTAGATGAAGGAAAAATAAAAGTACTGGAAGTCTCTGAGAAAGATTTACTCGTCTTGGAGTGGTAGTAACCAAGTTATTGATTTGTGAATGAAAATATTCCAGCGCAGCAGTCTGCACAGACCTTTTTCTCAGAAATACTGTTGCATGTCTCAAACACTTTGTGCTTTTTCAGCCGACTAGCAGAATAACGCTCCAGTCTGCCAGGACTCAAAGGGAAGCTGTAATTTTCTGCTTTTTGGGGGGTTTCTGCTCTCCATTCTCTGCTTTATGTCACAATAAGTGAAGTAATTTCTTCTTCTTCCTCCTCTGTTCATGCATTTTATTGTTACTGATGGCCTGAAATGCACCTTCACTGCCTGCTCTGGAGATCAACAATGCAGTGATGATTAGTGATGGTGATTTCATAGCTTGTTTTTATTCATCTAAACAGATCACCGGTTTTAGAAATATGCATGCGAGTATGTTTTCCCTACGGCCCAAACCGAGACAGGCGAATGACAAAAACAAAACCCAGACAAAAATTTAAGGAAGACGAAAAGCTGTTATCAATTTGTTCAGAGTTATAACTCCAGCTAAATTGTTTTAAGGGCAGATTAAAACTTTCAGGAGTTGTTCAATTCTTGCTTCAGATGAAATTCAGTCAATTTATTCAAGTAATAAAATGTATTTGATTTTGATTTTGATAGGTGCAGCCTTAAAAGTGAACAGTGAAACTTGTTGGTTTACTAAAGGCATTCAAGTGAGACTGACACACCACACTGCAAAAATACAAAGTCTTACCAAATATTTTGTCTGGTTTCCAGTTTCTTAGTTTACTGCAAATAAAACAAAACTAACCTACAAGTAACTTTTTGGAAGATATATAGGAGCTTGTTCTAAGTAAGTAATTTATTAACATTGATGAAAAAGTAATAGTTCCAACGTCAAATTATTTACCATGTCAAATATAAATTTCTTATTATGGGGGAAATAATCTCCCAGTATCACTTTTTAGCAACATTAAGAAATTATTAGCTTAAAACATGTTCCTACATATTGCCAAAACTTTGTTGTGAGTATTTGAACTAGAAACTAGAAATACTTGGTAAGATTTTGTCTTTTTGCAGTGCACACTTCTGCTTTGTCAGACAAGAGATAAAAATGTCAGTTTTGTTGTTTTAATGTAAAAAAAAAAAAAAAGGCAACGTATTTTCCTCAGAGGAAATGGAATTTATATTGGAAGCTAAAATCATTGATCTGTTTAAGATTTTACAATGAAATTTACTCAACTTCATTAGAATATTGACAAAAATACATTTATTAGTGTCACTGCATCCATTTCAACTCTTCATCTTATTTATAATTCAAAAATAACTGGGGCTGAAACGATTAATCGTATTAAGCGTGATTAATCGTGATTAATCGATTACTGAAACAATCACCAACTAATTGAGTAACCAATTAGGCCATTTGGTGACAGAATAATAGTCAAAGTGGTCAATTAAGTCAAAATTATACAAAAAATATATATATTTAGAATTAAAGCTAAAGAGTATATCCTACCTAAAACTCCTCAAGTGGCATAGGTTTTGCTTCCTAAAACTTCCTTTTAAGAACCTTTTCTATCCAATTATTAATCAGTCAGTCCAAAACACAGCCAACAGTTTGGTCCAAGGCTGTACTGGTGTTGAGTCAAGCAGAAAGCGTTGAATTTAGGAGAATTTTTAGCTGCAGATGCATCCTTTGCTACAAATAATCAATCATTCAGTAAAGAAAAGTTATGTCATTGCATTTTAGTCAATAAAATGTTTATTTTAAATAAAAATAATCCTATTTCAATGTATTTCTAATATTAGTACAGAATAAGCTTGAAAACAGGTGATAGAACTTAGAAAATTAGTTCATTTGTTACAAGTAATCAAATTAAATTAAGTTTATTAAGTTGTCACGATAAATAAGCTGAATTAAAGTAAGTTTGACAGAGTTGGAGCTTCATTCTCCTTATTCAGTGTGTGGTTAAATAAAAAAAATCTGTCGAATGAGTCAATTTTATTACCCGATTAATCGATTAATCATCAGAAAAATCGATCGAATAATCATTAATTAAAAATAATCATTAGTTGCAGCCTTCAAAGTAACCTTTTAAAAAGGCTCATTACTTGCTAGGACTCACCTTGTTGAGTAATTGTTGAGGAAGATGAAGCAGACGGCAGCTGTAGAGGAGGAAGACCTACATCACTGTTGAGCAGCGCACTGCCGTCACTGTCAGGGACTCCGCTCGGTACCGGGACCAGACTGTAGCCGCCGAGTTGCAGAGCTGCAGACGGCGAGCTGAAGGTGAGCACAGAGGTGCCTCCGTTCTGGGCCGCCATAGTGTGGATGCCCTCCAGCTTCACCTCCGACCCATTCACGCAGCCCGAGTAGGAGGAGTACTGCAGGACGGACTCCTCGGCGCCGCCCAGTCCCTTCTCCTGGCCCGTCTGCATGTGCATGTCCCCCCCGGAGCCGCCCAGCAGCACCCCGCCGGGCGGCCTCAGGGGGTTGAACGCCAGCGGCTGGATGCCCAGATTGAGCCCGTTGAACAGGATGTTTCCAGGCGAGTGGAGGTAGGATGAGCCGCCATTGTGAAACACGGTGGAGGAAGTATTAGTGGTTGCGAGGCTGCCATTGTAGACGCCACCACCGCTGGATCCTGACATCTTGATGTCGCCGATCTGCTGGATGACGACACCCCCGTCCAGAGGTCCAGCCTGAGCCGGGAGGCTCCCGTGGGTTATCACTCCGTCTGAAGAGTTGGAGAGAGGACGAGGGGACAGCTCCTCCTGGCCCTTACTGGACTCGTCCTCTGTGCTGTGGTTTCCATCAGACTCACTGCAGGGCGGCAGCAGAAAAACAGATGAGTCACAAAACAGAGAAGAAGAAACTGCATTTCCTACAACTGACTGTTTTCTGGGAAAGAAAACAAAATATTACAGCTCTGTATTATTAACAGAGTTGGGTGGTGACTAGTTATGTTTACTTGAGTAACTTTTTGGAAAAAAAATACTTTTTACTAAGCTATTCTTTTTACCTTTACTTGACTAACTTTATTATGAAGTATTGCTACTCTTACTTGAGTAAAATTTCTGGATTCTCTACCTGCTGCGAGTAACTTCCCAGTAGGGCTGAAACAATTAATCATGATTAATTGATGATTGAAATAGTTGTCAACTAATTTAGTAATCGATTAATTGTTACCTGGAGTACAAAAAATAAAAAAAGACAATTTTCTGAAAAAACAACAAATTCAGAGCAGTCATTAAACCAAAATATATAAACATTTAAGATTAAAAACACCTTTATTGTGTGTCAATATGTTTTGGTCAAAACTTCCCAAGTGGCATTTTTTAAATATTCACTCATTATGCATTTTAGATAATAAAAGTTTTAATTTTCTTATTTAAAATGGAATTTAATTATTTTTTTATTTGCACCTTCCATAACATTTCTAATATTGTACAGAAAAGATGTAAATGGAAAAAATAGAATGTGCCAAATTTGATCTTTTATCACATTAACTGAATAATTGATAGGTTGAGCTGATGATTAATCAATGAATTGTCAGAATAAGTGATAGATTAATCGATTACTTAAAAAAACGTTATTTGAAGCCTTAAATCACTGATGAAGAACAAAGTGATTTTAACCAAAAATTCATCAGACACAGACAAATGTTGAAGCTTTAAATGGAAAGAAAGAAATTTGGAGAATTTTTCCTTAAGTTTGTTATTTTGAATTATGTTATTTATATGAATTATTTTTATTTTTGTCTACCAACATTAAATTATTATTTGAGTAGCCTTTTTTACCAAATACTTTTGAGTAAGAATACACTGAAGTAGTTCTTCCTTCAGTACAGTATTTTTTTGTACTCTACCCACCTCTGGTTATTAAAGAGCTGTGACTCTTCAGCCCTCTTTACCTCATGGAGAGCTGCTCTGACAGCAGCAACAACCCTGCGACCATTTGGCGCAATAAATTCTGCAACAACAAATGGCTTGGAAGTCAAACTATAGTCCACATTTTTCAGTTTTCAACAGAAATCCTCCATAAAACCACAAAGACTGAAACGCTCTTCCTTGTTATTATGGTCTCATTTTATAGAGTGATTAAAACAGCTGCTTTCCTCCCCCTTCTCTCCCTCCCTCCCTCCAACACAGGGCGCACACACGCACGACCAACCCCCAACCATGTGGCCCTACAAAGAAATCCACAGGTTAATAACCATTTGGAGATTAATAAAGACGTTTGTTTGTGTTTGTGTGTGTGTGTCTGTGTGTGTGAGTGAGTGTGAGGAAGGGGGCAGAAGGGGTCACCTCTACCAGGTGTGCGTCATCTTTGTTCACAAGGAAAAACATGAAAGACCAGCCCTCACATCTCTCTGTGTGTGTCTGCGGGATTATGAGATGAAGCAGAGCTGATGGAGATCCTTTTAGTCCAAGAGAAGAAAGTCATCATGAAAATAAATTATTTTCATGATGACTGATCTTTGCGTGTTCACGCACAGGCTCATCCAGAGTCGCCTTTTGAACTCTTTCTTCAAAGTTGCGTCCTCCTCCCGCCGGCCTGCCCGCCCGCCCGCCCGCCTGTCAGCCGGATCTCTGAGGCTTGAAGCTATTTGGTTGCCTCTGGTTTCCATGACTCTCCGCTTCGCTTGAAACCGGATCTGAACGGCAACAGCTTCATATTTCAAAACATTAAAAGCGTGCTGCTTAAGCTTTTTCTGTTTCCTAACTATTTCCACTTAATAATTCACACGTTCACTCCTAAACTGTGTCTGACGCGACATTCGCAGTTATTAAGTGATTAAATAACGTCATTATTAAGTTTTTGTGCACTAATCCTGGACAGGGATATCGAAATGTGCGCATATAATAAAGTTATGTTGAGTTATTTTACGACGAGAGATTTAAAATTGAATGTATTAAAAGATTGTTCAGATGCGCCTTTTGCGCTCATATCCTTTTGGCCGGTAAAAAGTCGGACTTGAAGACAGAAACTCGTGCATCGTGTTTTTTTTCTTTGTTTCCTTACCTTTTGGACTGCGCTTCCGATGGGTTTCTGTCCCTCTGCCGCCTGTTTTTGAACCAGTTGCTGACTTGGGTCAAGGAGAGTCCGGTTATCTTGGCCAGATTCCGTTTCTCGGCTGGAGACGGGTACCTGTTCTGATTGTAGAGATCCTTCAGCGCGTTCCGCGACCTCTCCTTGAAACAATAAACCGTCTCCTCGCCGTCCCAGATAGTCCTGGGGAGAGGGTATTTTCTCCGGATCCGGTACTTATCCACGGCGCCCAGGGGTCTCCCCCGCGCCTTCTCCGCCTCCGTGTACCGGGCCTTGTACCACAGTTCCTGCAGAAAGGTGTGGTTGGACGGGTTGAAACTATGGTTCTCCAAAATACTGTAGAGCTCCTGGTAGCGCGCCTGATGGAAGGCAACGAGGGCTTGGGCTTTCAGGATGCTTTCGTTGCCGCGGAGCAGGTCGCTTTGGGGTAAGGACCACAAGAACCTCGCCAGCCGGTCCACGTTGCCCCCCTGCTGCAGCGCCTCGCACACGCACGCCACTTGCTCCGGGGAGAAAGCCAGGGAGGAAGCGGCGCTCACCAGCAGCTCCGTGCGCACCGCGTCGGCGTTGGGAGCCGTGCGCTCCATGGACAACTCCGCCGCGTCCAGCGCCACCAGCTTGATGCTCTCACGCTTATCCACCTCCTTCACATTTTCCCTCTTGATGTCATTCACTGCCGTGACCTCTCCGGCAGAAGAAGACATTTTTTTTGTTCGAGCCTTCCCTGGCAGAGTCACTCCTCCCCGCTCGATCAGGTTACCTCCTCGCCATGCGAACCCGATCGGATATCTGACAGCAGCTGTAAGCAGATATCTCTCTCCCCTCTTCCTTCCAACGTGACTTTTACTCTGCGGGGACTGGGGCTGGAGGGAGATACGCTGGGGTCTATCTGAAGGAGAGCCACGCCATTGGCCGCTGAGGGCCCCATGAGGGAGGAGCGAGCGCGATTCATGCGCGAATGTTTGGCTTTCAGCTGTCAGTCATGGATCTTCCAGCAGGGCTTTATTCCCGGTACTCACCTGTGCAAGGTGAGTGCTTCTGGGATCGTGGGAACGGGAAGTTCTTGTTGCCTCTGTTCTCAGTAGCTGCATTGCATGAAGGTATGCACAAAAGTGTTTTTATTCCCACATCAAGGCAGGGAAATCCAAGGGGAAATATGGGAGTGCTCTCATTAAGTTTCTCCAAAGACAATGCAAACAAAGGGAATGGTCCTGCTCATTGTTATTTTGAATATTTTGCTGCTGCTGCTGGCGTCAACAGAAAATACATTTTAAATGTGGAAAAAAACTTAATTGCTCTTGCCAACCTAAACAAATAAAACCAGATTCATTCAGCGTATTAAAATGAGTTCCTGCTAAAAAACCATAAACCACAAACCATTTATAATGTGATTTGATCTTTCCTGGTCAGGCTTTGTAAAAAATACCCCAAATCTTTACAATGCATCACTTAAATGCACTTTATGCATAAATGGAACAAACATCAGATATGATCTAAAGGTGCAACATTTTTTATTGGCTTATTTAAAATTAACAGCAATATTTTGAGATTATTAGTAAATAATAATTTAATCTAATGTGACTGTGGAGTTTTCTTATAATTGAAAATAGATATATTTTCCAAAATGTTTAGTCTGTAACAGGATACTTGTGAAATCATTTTGAACTGTTAAAATAAGAGGCTTATTTTTACAGTTTAGTTGTCACATGGATATTTCCCTCGCCTATTAGGAGAAATAATAATTTAAAATAGAATCAAATTTAATTATTGAGATTATTTTTGCTAATCTGCAATTTTCACAGCCCAACATATTGGACTTATGTTGATATAAATATGATATTATGAAATAGATGAAACTCTGTACAGTTTGACCTCAGACAGTTTAAAGGAGAGAAAATATGAGTAATTTAATGGTTCTTCATGGCTAATCAGATTTTATGATTTTCATTCCTTTATTAATAAAATAGCTTGTAGTTTATGGAGCAGAGGTGGGATTAGTTAAATGTACACTTTTGTTTCCAATCTGTTTGAGATATATGAACTTAATTTAAACCATAATGCTGCTTATTTTAGTATTTTTTTAACCTGGTTTCTTAATTTTTCATTAATTAGCTTCTGTAACGCTTGAAATATAAAATATTTCTGTTTTTATTTCTTATTCTGAAATGCTTATGATAATCTTATTTATTTTTACATAAAAACTTAGCAAAAATGTATCAATCAGTTTTTTTCTACATTTAATGCAATATTTGGTCTGTATAGTTCAACTGGAAAATGGGCAAATTTAGTGAAGGAAAAAATACATGTATATAAAAAAAAATGCAATAACTTGATTATTCACACCCTTTTCAAAGCACTTTTTGATTCATCTCCAGCAATCCCGGCAGCTTTTCTAAATTTCTAAAGTCATTTTTCGCAGAAATGTCTCAAAGGATCTTACTGGACAAATGTATCAGTCAGGAGAAGGAGAGTACAAAAAGCACATTGAAAACCTCTGCAAACCTGATGGCAGAAAGATTTATCAGTTATGTACACCAAAAGAAGAACACCACATCCATAAAATATGGTGGTGGCGGTATCATGCTGTGGGGTGACCTTTTTCTCTTTTTTTCTTTCTTTCAGAATGGAGTTAAGGTTTTTGTCGAGGTGGTTGAATTTATCAGTAGTATAAGCACCAACTGAATCCTTTACATGCCTGCTTAAAAGATGAAGATGGATTTTATTTTTCTTTACGGCACTTTGGTCCACTGTGATTGTTTTAAAGTGCTGGATAAGAAAAGTTTAGTTTATGCTGAAATCAAGTCAAATTTAATGGTTTTAATGGTATTCTCATTCTCAATAAAACTCTAAGCAAAGGTTTCATAAACTAGATGAAAGAGGATTGAAAACAGGAATTAAGTTGTGGGTTTTGTTTATACCTCAATACTCCTGCAGTCTGCTGCGCCTGTCCGAGGGGTAGGAACCATTGTTATTACAGGCGTTTCCAGAGGGAGCGTTCTCAGAGTGACGCTTTGGTCCGCCTCAGTGGACGCTCACAAATGTTGACGTTTTCTGAAGCTGGTTTCTGACATAAATATTAAAAATAATAATAAAAGATGGACGACCAGGGCTGTCCGAGATGTAAGACCACCAAGTACAGGAACCCGTCGCTGAAGCTGATGGTGAACGTCTGCGGCCACACGCTGTAAGTCCTCCAACCGCCCCAGAAAGCAGCAGCAGGGGGATCATTTCTGTAAAACAGGGCAGAGTTTACAGAAATAACCCACAGGGAAGCTGAGAGGCGCCACTTAAATGTCAGTAGATAATTTTTATAATCATATTTTACCGTTAAATCTGAGTGTGAACGGTTTAAGTTGGAGCTTTCGCTCATTTCAGGCAAGTTAAGGCAAGACGACAATTTTTTTTTCTCTATGGAGAAATATTCTGGTCAAGGTTTGTGGCAGTAGAGTATCCAAAAATCTACTAAAGTAAAAGTCGCACTACTTCGACATATTTCTCCTGAACTAAATGTAAAAAGTAGCCATCCAAGAAATTACTCAAGTAAGAGTAAATAAGTATTTGGTAAAAAGTCTACTCAAGTACTGATCAAATTATCGATCATTTAATATTTAAATATATCAACATCAGACATTAAGTGGAAATGTAGGTATTTTAAGAACCAGAATGACAATAATTCATATAAGTAACAAAAAATAACAAAAACAGGCAAAATAAATTATTTCAAAATCAGTTTCTTTCAATAAAAAACTTTTAAAACTTTAACAAAAACTGCAGGTGTGTGTCTGTGTCTGGTGGATGTTTGATTAAAACACGTTTGTTTTTCATTCAGTGAAGTGGAGAATACAGAAATTTTACTCAAGTAAGAGTAGCGATACTTCATAATAAAATTACTCAAGCAAAAGTAAAAAGTTCAGTGTAGTAAAAATACTCCTAAAAGTAATTATTTTCAAAAACGTTACTCAAGTAAATGTACCCAACTCTGCTTTGAGGACATGTTAATTCAGATGATTTAGAAGTCGAATAATTTTAAACGTGTGCAGCATTAACTTTCGGTGTGTATTCAATAATAATACATTGAGAAACAGTATATGTTCTGATATTAAATCCTGTTAGCAGGCCTCAAACACAACATAAAACAGTGATTCACAGTTGTTGACGTGCAACGTTTGTTTTATATTCAGTCAGTGGATGAAATATAAAACAACCATATTAAAAGACATAATCAGAAGATATGTTGTTGAAATTTAGAAACAAAGCACAAAAGTAAGAACACACCAAATTGCATTGATTTACTTCAATATGATTGTTAAATATCTTAATGGTGAACCCACATTTTCTTTTCAGTGATCATCCCACTACTTTACAGAACCTTTAGAAATATCCGCCTATTAAAATCCTTTTAGGTTTTGGCATAAAGGACCAGGAAACGACATCTGACTAAATATATTATTGATTGCAAAGTTTGGATGGATACCATCTGAAATATGATTTGTGATTGCGATGCTACAATCATATTGATGCTTAGATGGCGGTTACCATTTGATATGCTGTGCTGCTCTAAAACCAAACACAATTCAGACCTGAGTAAAAAAATAACAACTATGCTATTTTTAACTTATTGCAAAGATGTGGAGCAAAGAAAAGAGAAAAAGTTTGTTTTACCATATTTTTTTATATCTTCAGGGAACATTTAAGAGTTTGAAACAGATCGTCATCATAATTCAATACCATGATGTGACAAGAAGCTGGTCATGAATGCTGCAGAATTAATTGGGAGAAGAAGCAGCATCCATATAAATAATGTCATAAGAGGAAATAATGAGGATGCACAAATAAAAAAATTGGTGCTTGTGCAATGCAAAAGTATCACTTACTCTGCTCATTCACTCAGCCTGATGCTGCCATTGCCTTGCATGACAGTTTGTAGATTTGAAAGCCTCATCTTGACTCCTGTAGCTCAAACATCCTTCAAGTCGTTGCCAAGCAGCTCAATATTTTCTCCAGAAGACATTTGGATTGTCCAAACACAGAAAAACCAAAATCTTACCAAGAATTTTTGGTCTCCTTTTTTTGTGCAAATATCTTAAAACGCTTGAAATAAAATAAAACTACTTTACAAACAAGATGTAAGAGCTCGTATTAAGTAAATCAGTTCTTAATATTGATGAAAAAGTTCTTGGTAATTTCACTTATAATGTGGGAAAATGTCTTGTTATAAGTAAAATAATCTGGAACTTGTACTTTTTCATCAATATTACAGATTTATTGACTTTAAACAAGCTCCTACATCTTGCTGAAAACTTGTTTGTAAGTTACTTTTGTCTTATTTCATGTCTAAGATATTTGCAGTAGAAATTAGACCTAAAATACTTGGAAAGATTTTGTGTTTTTGCAGATTTCACTCCAACACTTTCCCATTTATGGTGGGCTTGTGTCTTGAACATCTGAATGGAGATCCTTTCATTTTAGGGCAACGTTTTTTACCTCAACACCATGAACCGCCCCCAGCTGTATTTTCTTCTCATGTATGTGATATTTATGTAGTTTATCAGTATTAGCTGCAGGTTACAGAAGGTTAGACATAGAAGCAGCTCCCTGATGCCGCGGCGGCCTGATCAGCGTGACTTTTCCGACCCACCTTCTGCTTATTGAGCGTAGTTCCATTTGGAAGTGGCCGTGCTTCGTCATCAGGTCAGCGAGGGCTCATAACTCCTCCCGTCTCAGTCTGGATGGAGAGCTACATGCAGAAAATTAAACGATTCTGCAAATGAAGCAATTTTAAGCAGCGCCCTGGATCAGGTCACCTTGGCTTTGCTCCTGCTGAGAGCAGACTGTTTACCTGTTTTTTTTATTTATTTCTGTCATCTCCAATATCATTCGCTGGATGTTTTGAAACTTGTTTTGTAAGTTTGGATGAATTGATTTGATCTAAATTGAATTTTTTAACAATGTCTCTTTCATATGACATTGAAATTTTGTGTTTAATAAACTTAATTAAATTGAATTTTTGAGAAATATTCAATTTAAATGCTTGTATTTTTCTTTTAATCTGTTGATTGAGCTAAACAAACCCTGGAGGTTTTAGTTTCTCCTCCATGAATCTAAATTTAAACTCCGTTAGACGTCGCTTTGGAAGACTGACACTGATTAAGCTTGATGTGTGTTACTTACTATGTTAACAGAATAACATCAAACTTTTGTTCTTTGGCATTTGACATGTTGCAGATTAGGACTGAAAGGATTAGACAGATTAAATGTGATTAATCGATAATTGAAATAATTGTCAACAATTAATCGCTAACTGGAAGATTCAGACTTAAAAAAGGAAATTTACTGAGAGCAAAAATATTCAGAGCTGTAATTAAGCCAAAATTATGCAGAAAGTTTATACATTTTACGTTTAAGATTAAAAAACTTCATGTAAACCTGTCGCAGTAATCAATTAATTAATCAATTAATTGCATGATTAATTAAAATAAACTCCATAATTTCCAGTCTGATGATAAATATTTTTTAAGGATATTTTTGTTTGCAGAGACATCATAATCATATTTTTATTTATGGTTTTTGTTGTGTGTATATTTTTTATTTCTGTTTTATTTACTACTTTTGTTTTTTTATTTTGGATATTTAAAATATCTTCCAGCTCCAATTTTAGTTTTCACAAAATTAAACTTTGTTGTTTTTTGAGAGAGCAAACTTGCATTATTATGCCATTTTCAATATATGACTTGAAAATAGTCTCAAAACAACAATATTGTCATTTATCATTGTCTGACCTCCGGTGCTGGTTTTAGATGCTCTAATGTGGCTGCAGCATTTCGGCATTTTATTGGACTGAATTGTGTTTCTGGAAACATTTTTAGTTGTTCAGCTCAAATCTCAAATTCTAGAAGAACTTTGTGGACAGTGAAATTTAAAATTTTGTGCTCAAAAGTTTACATACAAAGTTTTTGGCAATATTTTAGAGAACGATATAAAAAAAGGGAACATTTTTTAAATGTTTTATCAAACTGTTGTGAAGCTAACCAACTGACCCTGATCCAGAGCTATGGCCTGGTTCTTACTGTGAATTGTCAACCCGCGCCCAGCTTGAGGTTCTTTACCGGTTCTTCTTGGTGAAACATCTCTGCATATTGATTCTGTTATGGTTTTCTTCTTAAAGAAACTGTTTTTCTGGATAAAACTTTTGTTGGTCTTCCTGAATCCCATCATTTCCCACTTCTTAATTTTAGTTTGAACGTTGGTGACTAGTTTTCCTTGGAAATCTTTTTATATATTTTTTCTGTATTATGACATTCAGCTAAACTCTTTCGGATCCCTTTATGATTAATTTGTTTCCCCCTATAAACTTGAATGTCAGTGCAGCGCTGCATTAGTGAGGATGGTTGCCCTTTTAACCAGTCTAACTAGCCTTCCAGGTTAGGTAATCAGGGTTATTTGTAAGAATCAGCACAATTCTTTGACAGTATACGGCTTTACCTGGTTATGAGGAAAGCTGTGCAGTAAGGAGTTCCACAAGGTTCAGTTTTAGGTCCCATATTTTTATGGTACTGTGGGATGGTATCATCAGAAAACATCACATTCACTTTTAGAGCTGTGTTCATGACAAAGACATCAATGTTGATGACCTGAGATTCATTTATTCTCTTTTTATTTTACTATATTTTAGAAGTTTAGATGCCTGAGGATATTCTTTATTTAGGACAGAACTCGGTTTGAGACAGTAATAGAAGAATCTCAGAATATTTTATCACCAGTTTCGTCTGGGTTTCTCGGTCCAATGCAGATATACTAATACACGCTTTTATAATATGCAGAATCGATACTGTAATGCACTGCTTTCTGGGCCTCCAAAGACGAGCTTAACTTCACTGCAACATTCAGCTGAATGCAGGCCGGGACCAGAAATCAAGCTCACATCACACTGATTCTGTGCTTTGACTTTATTAGCTTTGGAAAATGCTTCTTTTTCTCTTAGCTTCTGCAAAGCAATTTGTTTCTCACTTTTAGGTTTGAAAAGCGATCTATTAATAAATCTCATTGATTGGGATTAAGTAAAGGTGCTTTCACACCAGCCCCATTTAGTCCGCTTTAATCGAACTCTGGTTCTAGAAAATCTGGTTCATTTGTGTGAATGCATAATTGAACTCTGATGTGAACCTAAATGAACTCTGGTGCTGTTTGAATGCGTATGTGAACGCCAAGCGGACCAGAGGCCACTCCAAATGGAGGAAGCGGACCGAAGCGCAGGTAAATACAACCAAAGCAAATTTGCTGCTAGCAGCAGAAATGGCTCATGATCTTTTACCAAAGACAAAAGGGAAATCCTACATCCGTTAAAATCTGTTCCTACTCCATTTTTGTTTGCATTTTATGAAAAAGAAAGATGCTTGCATGTCTTCTTCAGAAGTTTTTCTGTCGTTTCCTACAGTGGTTCTTGGTGGAGCGCCCCCACAGGAGAGGAGGTGAATAGGTTTGTCAGAGGGTTTCGTTTGACACAGAGCTGTGTCAAAGAGAACTGCAGCAGCTGAAAATGTGACAAATGTTGACATGTTGGTCCCTAATGAAACAGGACTACCGGTTTATCAGGTGTGAAAACCTCCTAATGGACTTGACACACCAGCAGTGATGAACGACGGCGTAAAGCCATGAACCCAACACACTGCAACGGCAACAGCAGCGACAAAAATTTAACATTTCTCAACGTTCTTGTATCGCATCACCAGCCTGCATGTACACTTCTACATGTACAAGCTCAAACTTTCACATACACAAATTTTGACAGTTGCTTGGCAGGAGCAGGGCAACGATTGTCGCCTCATTGCTCCAGTCTTACAGGAAATGGATGGAGAGGGAGCGGCGGCGTCTTGTCTGTTGAGCACCTTAAGTTTGAAAAGCGATCCAGGTAACACTTTATTTGAAGGGGTGTCCATAAGTCTAACATGACACTGTTGTAAACATGAAGGAGTCTTCGTGAATCTTACGACTGTTGTCATGAAGTGTCACTCGGTAAATAATGACATTTTTAGTACAAAGTTGACACGTTCAGTGGACTTTTAATTCAACATTTAGTGCAATTTTGAATTAAAAGTGTCTTTACCCAATGACACTTGATGACAACAGTCGTAAACATTCATGAAGAATCCTTCATGTTCATGACAGGTGTTATGTCATGTTAGTCATGCATACCCCTTCAATAAAGGGTTGCCGCATGTAAACAAGACAATTTGTACATTCTGGCAGCTTTGGACCTACTGAAGTCTACATGGACTCCATCTTTGGTTTGGGAAGGTCAAGAGCTCTATCACAGCAACCCATAGGTCCGTTTTGCTTTGTCTCTTTCTTGTGGGTTGGTAGAGTTAGGATGTAGTGGTGTTAGTCTCTTTGCTGAGCCAGTATCGCCTTGTTTACCTTCCTATTACCCCTCCACCCCCTCTGCGACCTGCTGACAGCTGCAGATGAAGAGATAGGAGCCTGGAGCTCTGAGCAGGACAGGTGAGAGAGGGAGGTGTTCAAAGCACTCCGTCAGCAACAACAGCCCTGGGACACAGAGATGGCAAGCTGTTACTTCTGAAACGTCTTTCTGTCTGAGCGGGGTTATGTCTCTGAACATGAAAGCTGGCGCAGAGCAGAAGATGGAAAAGTCTCCTCCCTTTATTTTAAGGGGTCATCTCTGAGCTCTAGAGTTACACAGGATTTGCCCCTTAGAGGGTTCTGTTGTGTGGTCCATTTATGGGGCAGGGGGCAAGCTACGCCCCGCTCCTTGCCCCGTGTTGATGAATGGGCTCTTTGTGGGCCTGTGGAAACAAGCAGAATCTCTCCATCCACCTCCATATGGCGAGGTCTATAGATCTGCTGTAGCCTGAGGCCGCAGCGAACATCTGCCTCTTCCAGGGCTCGCTCCCAACTCTCAGACACCAACTGGACACCGCACATGCTTCTGGCTGTCGGTTTGCTTTCATTTTCAATGTCTCAGCGTGGCTACGGCCAAGCCAAACTGACACATGAGAGCATTAGCGCTTTAAGTTGTGGCAGGTTGGGCTTGTTTGACCCTTATTGGAAGCGTTGGGTGTAAACAGAGAAATTCCACGTGTCTGCACTTTCCTCTCTAGCTGTGTTTTCTGCTTTGCGTCTTGCTGATGAGATGAAACGTCTTGCATGACTGTCCCGAATGTTTGTGTCTTTCTTGAACTTTTCACTTGGCTCGATTTGACGGCAATGAAGTGACTCAGGCATACCGTCAGTGAGGTGTACAGAGAAATTTGTCTTTCCTCTCGTAATTCTGAATAATGCTGGTGCTCGGAAACCAGATGTCCATTTTTGTGAGGGTGGTCATGAGCTGGAAGTTGGATTTCTGTGGCAATAAAGCTCCACGGAGACTTAATTAAAAGAGCGACTGTGCAAACGTTTATCCAGCCTCTTCAGCCCATCAGGGGGACATAAAGGGACATTCCCATTGTCTGCAGTCTCCACTCTCCACTGGAGTGTGACTGATGGGTAAACGCCTACCTGCATAAAGGTGTGATTGATGGTTAAACTCAGGTCTGTGCCCTCAGGTGAGCCTGATGATCACATGATGTAGAAAATGGTCCAGATTAAAATGAGTCACTGATTGCTTTGTGTATTATGTGAAAAGGTGAAGTCCAGCTGAAAAACGCATCGTGACTCTGCTGTTTTGTCCCATATGTGGTCTTGAAAATCTATTACGTAAATTTTTCCACACTTAAAATGTCTCAGTGCATAAAATAAATTTTAATATCAGGCAAAGATAGCGTGAGAAAATACAAGGAGCAGTTTTCAAATCATGTCATTTATTTAAAAAACATGGCAGTGTAGCAATCAGCCCCAAACCTAAAACCTGATTGTGTTCAGAGTTTTCATGCACGAAGAGTCAGTTTTATGTCATACTTCTGCATATGAATCATATTTAGGTCTAGACTTTGACTAGGCCACTCCAAAACCTTCATGCTTGATACTTGAAGGTGTTTTCACACCCGGTAGATTTGGATCGATTGGGGACTAAAATTGTGACATTTAAATTTCCAGCTGCTGTGGTTTGCTTTCAAACTGATCCAAAACCTTTGAAAAACCTGTTCTCCTCCTCGCCTGTGGGGGCGTTGCACCAAGAACCACTGGAGGAAACGACACAAACGCCTACAAAGAAGACATGAGCAAAATGTAAACAAAAATAAAGTGCCATCAGATTTGAGTGGTTATAGGATTTTTCTTTTGTCTTTGGTAAAAGATCAAAAGCCATTTCTCCCACTAGCTCTAGACTTTTATTTGATTTGGTTGTATTTACCCAGAATTCCCTGCACTATAGTCCACTTCCTGCTTTTGGAGCGTTCGCTGGTCCACTTGGTGTTCACATATACATTCAAACAGCACTAGAGTTCACTTTAACCGAACTTAGACTTTGGTTTTTAGGTGGACCAGTTTTCTTTTTACTGGTTCCTTGGATTATTGTCCTCCTGTGTTACCCAGTTGCTTTTGAACATCGTGTTTGCATCAATTATAGTAAACTGTCCAGGGACTGAGCAGCAAAGCATCCTCAGATCATCACACTACCACCACCGTGTTTGACTGTTCTACTTCTAAAGTTCTGGTCATTTTATACCAGTCCACAGAACACTTTCCCAAAAGTTTGGGGGATCATAAAGATATTTTCTTGGTAAGCGTAAGGCAGGTTTTTGCATAATTTTGATTTGGAAGCCATTTTTGTTTGGTCCAAGTCTAATTATTGTTGAACCCTAAACTCTGACCCTTAGGAAACCAAGTGAGACTTGGAGCTTTAGATGTTCTGGGTTATTCTGTGACTGCCTGGATAAGTTGTTGATGCTCTCTTGGAGTAATTTTGGTAGGCCGACCACTGGAAAGATTTGCCACTCCATTTATTGCTAATGTTTGCTGGAGTCCAAAAGCCTTAGAAACGTCTTTGTAACCATTTCCAGGCTGAAGAACTGGAAGAAAATGTGTTTCTCATCTGTTCTTGAAATGTAGAACATGCTTTTTAAAATCTGTTAACACACTCCACGTTGTCAGACGGAGACGAGATTGAAACTCTTTGGAAAATAGAATAAAAACATTTAATTCATGATTTAACAAAGGGGATAATTACTTTTCCACTTAAGCTGGGTTGGTTTGAAAAGTTAAATTTCTCTTAATAAATTTTATGCTCAGTTTCTCTCAAACTTTATGGATAATAATAAAAAATAAATAAATGGCAGATGTATATCATCACTTAACTAAAATAGTGAGTAAAATAAAGTGATTTTGGCAAAAATAAATAAATAAATCACTACCTCTTTCTCTCCAATAGATGTTTTGGCCATAGTCTTGGCAATATGATAGAATATTGTTAATATCACAAATATTTCATCTTATAATACTTCCTTTAATCAGGGGATGAAGGAAAACTCAAACACCTGAAATATTCCAAAGTTACTCAACATATAATCTGTCCTGGGATGAGTTCTGCACAAATTACTGAGCTGGATTTCTCTCATGTTACGCAACCTGGCAGAATGGTTGAGGTCTGCTGAAACAACAATAAAGCAAACGTTTTTCCAGCGCAGACAGACACTCCGCTGATGGGGTGTTGGGACTAATTTCCTCTTGTCTGAGAGTGCGAGGCGGCCTAATCGACATTCCAATCCCGGCCATCTTTGAGCACTTAGGAGAAATATTCTGATCCCCCATTATCGCCCGCTGCTGCATTATTGCTTCATTTCTTGGAGAAATGAGTAGAAAACTGTATTTGCACATGAAGCTGTGTTGCCGACGTTCTGCTTGTTGCCTTAGATGCGAGAACTGTGTGGAGATGCTGTTTGTGCGCGGCTCGGGGAACTGCGTGCAATGCGACACGCCTCTGAGGAAGAGCAACTTCCGCGTGCAGCTCTTCGAAGACGCAACTGTGGACAAGGAGGTAGAGATCCGCAAGAAGGTGATGAAAATGTGAGTGAGTTTGGGTCAATGGGTGGGCATTAGGGGTGTGGTTCTCTGTGTTTATATGTTACTCCAGGCCTCCTCCCACTTCTTAAGCTGCCTTTGTCTTCCTCATTACACTGTTTGTTTTGTAGACAATGAGTCTCTCCGGGGGGTGGGGGTGGAGGCTCTTTCTCTGCCAGGTTTTTACTCCGCAGCCCCTCCCTGTCCTCTTTCACTCCATCTTATCAGTGTTTTAATAGCCCCTTAATTGAGATCTAATGTATGTGTGTATTGGGCAGAATGCAGAGATGGTTTATAAAATGGTTGATTTAATGGATGCTGTTACTGTCGGTGATTGCTCCTCTTGTTTCTCTGCAGCTACAACAAAAGAGAGTTCGACTTCCCCAGCCTGAGAGACTATAACGACTATCTGGAGCAGGTGGAGGACATAGGTAGGAACAGGAAGGCTTCAGTCTGGAATAACCAATGTCTTCTCATCAAAGACGCATCGGATCTGGGGATACAAGTCCCTCTGAGGACTTTCAGCCTGGATGGACTGAGTGTCACCATTAATCTCCAATCAGTACTTTTGCAAAAAAAAAAAAAAAAGTACTGATTCTCTATTATTGGCCCACTAGTTTTCAAACTTTATCTCCTGCTGCAGGGAGCTGTCTTTTGAAAACTTTTAACATGACCGAGTATTTTTGTCTAGTTGTTAGTGCAGATTTCTTGGTAGAGTTGAAATAAGATAAAACTAACTTACAAGTAACTTTTCAGGAAGATGTAGGTTTAAGACATTAATTCCTTAATATTGTTTAAAAAATAACTGGTTCCGCTGCCGGATTACAGCATTATGAAAGATGTTTGCATTGGGGTGTACTGCAGGGCTCTGAACTTGGTCTCTTCTTTTGTCACTGCTGGGAGCTATCATTTGAAATATTGTTACTTCACCTATATCAAGATATTTTCCCCATACTATAATTTAAATAATCTGCCGGTGGAACTACTACTTTTATAAAATCAATATTAAGGAATTATTGACTTAACACAAGCTTCTATATCTTGCTGGAAAGTTGGTTTTGTCTTATTTCAAGTTTACTAATATATCTGCACTAGAAACTAGACCAAAAATACCTTGTAAGATTTAGTTTTTCTAGTGAATTTCTTTCCATATGCTGATGACTGCCATCTTTATTTCCTCCTAAACACTCTGAGCCATCCTCTGTTAAGCTTTTTATTATTCTAGGTGATGTTCAGTCATTAATGACTTTAAATTTATTCAATCTTAATATGTAAAATTGAAGCTTCTAATTGTTTCTGTAGAGGTAAAGGTGTTGATTTCGCTTCTCTAATCTGAATATTATTATTTACAGATACACAACATTACATTTTTACAGTTAAAAACAGTTATGTATTATTGTTTTTTTTACTTTTAAATGCAGTTTACAACCTTACAAACAACGTTGATGTGGAGAACACCAAGGGCAGGATGGAGCAGTACCAGAGGGAAAACAAAGACATCATCCAGAGAAATAAGGCGAAGCTTGTAAGCACCGTCTTCCCTCTCTTAAACAAACACTTGCATGACCTCAGATTTGCGGTCGGTGATGTTGCAGATTGTTTTGAGGATAATGTTTCGTTCTCCTCCCTCAGACGCGGGAGCAGGAAGAGCTGGAGGAGCTGCTGCTTCTGGAGCAGCAGAGCAACGAGCAGCGGAGGCTGGAGGTGCTGCAGGAGGAGCAGAGGCAGCTGCAGGCCAAGAGGAAGAGCAAACAGACTCTGCTGGATGAACTGGTGAGAAACACACGTGCTGCATGTCCGTATTTACTAAAAGTGACAAGAGAAGAAAGGCTGATGCACTTGCTTTAGTACACTCTGAGGGTGCTTTCACACCAGCACTGTTTAGTCCGTTTTAACTGAACTCTGGTTCGTTTGGGGACTTATGAATGCATAATCTGATCCAGACCAAAAAAGTGAACTCTTGTCCGCCTAAAAACTTAGGTCTCTGTTCAGTTGAAGTGAACTCTGGATGCATATTTAAATGCCAAGCGAACCGAAGACCGCTCCAAAAGCAGGAAGTGGACAACAGCACAGGGCATTCTGGGTAAATACAACCAAAACAAATGAGAGAGTCAGAGACAGTCATCGATGCACAGTCACATGGTTTTGGTAAGTTTTATTCAGATTTCGCAAATTTTTTTGTAAACGTTATTTAGTGAAGAATTGTACAAATGTACATACTTTTACATCACATCATAAAAACGTTCCTCAAAAGTATCCGAGTACGAAAACCAGATAATGGTTGAAAATAAAGCACAGTAACAAACGTTTGACCATTCAGGCAACACTTTGTCCAGAGCTCTGTCGGAACAGTTCGACCCAGGCCTGGTGTTGAGTTTGGCAGGTGGATGCCGCTCTGCAAAGACATTTTTCAGTTTTCATCACAGGTTTACATTAATGAGAACCGATTTCGTTACTTAGCATGAAGCATGACGGAAATCTGACGCCACTCCATTTTTGCTTACATTTTGTGACGAAGAAAGCTGTCTTCTTCTGAGGTTTTAGTGTTGTTTCCCTCAGTGGTTATTGATGCAGCGCCACCACAGGCAAGGAGGCAAACAGGTTTTTCATTTAGTTTGGTTTGTTTCACTCAGTATAGTGTGAAATCGAACTGCAGCAGCTACAAATGAAACAACTTTCCGAACCGAGTCTACTGGACTTTCAGGTGTGAAAACACCCTCAGACACACACCGTCACCCTGCGACACCATTAAGAGCTTATTACAAGTCATTGCGCTGCGGCTTGCATTGTTCTCATTCTGTGATCCCAAAGCTTTTCGGCTCCATTGTTTTGAGTTGAGGGCTTTGGAAGATATTGTCCCTGCAGAGCTGCCAGCAGAAGGACCATCACAGATAACAGGTTAAGCTGTGTGCTTGTTTGTTTAAGGCACAGGGCCTGTTGACTGTAGGCAGATGAGATCAGCTCAGACCCCCTCTGAGGGAAACTCTTCTAAACTCTGGCTTCTCCGCCTCTCTGTGGCCATTCGCACACAGAATTTATCCGTTTATCTCCGATATCTGCTTTATTCTTATCAGCTAATGCTTTAATTTACATATTTATGACATTTCTGGTCATTTTAAAGACTATTTTTATAGTACCTTGGATTTGATTAAACTTTTCTTCAATTTTAAAATTCAACAAATGTAGTTGAAATAGTTAATGCTGGAACTTTTGCATGGACCGGTCCGGTTACCAGTACCAGGGTGACCAAAAGTTCCCGAATAAAGACAAATACAAAAGCCTTAACAATAATTTATGACACAATTTCAGCAGTTCAAATTAATTTTAATGAGCAGTCATTGAAAGAGCTAGAGTGTTGCTGCACTCTGCCTGTCAGCTTGCTGAAATAAGGCTAACAGACTGTTCCCTCTTCCTTTATCGCCTGATTAATTAACCAGCTAATATCAGTAGGGCTGAAACGGTTAATTGAATAATTGGTTATTGAACTAATCATCAACTAATTTAGTAATTGATGATTCATTAACTGGTGTATTCAGACTAAAAAGGCCATTTTTAGAAAGAGCAGTAATTAAACCAAAACTGTACAAAAAATATATCCATTTTGCATTTAAGATTGAAATGAACTTTCTCTGTAAATATCTTCTACCCAGAACTGCTCAAGTGGTATAGTTTTAGATTCATCCGGATAGTATTCTGTAAAAAAATTATAAAAAACTCTCACTAAGCAGCTTTTGTTTCCCAATTATGAATCAGTTATTCCAAATATAACCAATAGATTAGTCCCACACTGTATTAATGTCTCACATGTTGATGTTAGAAGTGTTTTTTACTGCAGATGCATCCTTTGCTACAAATGAATGTCATTACTTTGTTTATTAGCATCTTTTAACATTGCATAAAAAAGTTGAATGAAAAATCTGCAGAATGTACCATTTTTAAAAATCCAATTAATAGATAACTAAAATACTTGGTAGTTGCAGCTTCAATCGTTGTTTTATCTGCACCAATCTAAGGTTTATGTAAATACTAGTTTGCACTAGAAACTAGACCAAAAATACTTGGTATGAGTTTGTGATTTTCCAGTGTTCCTGTCTGCTGCATGATCTCTGCTTTAGTAGTTGCTGTACTTAGACATGTGTCCTCTGACCTTGGATTTAATTGGAGGTTTTGTTCTCCTGCCCGGTTTTTAATATCTGCGCCTTCAGCCCGGTGACAGCCCGGCTGAAAGCACCGCTTGCTGATGGTTATCTCACTTTGGCGATGAATGATGGGAAGGGGCTGCCGCCGGTGCCGGCCTCGTAATGAAACACTTTAATGACAGCCACTGAAACCGCTTGTGTTCCTCCAGGAACAGTCCAAGCTTCCTGCCACCATCTTGCTTGCTCAACACAAGGTTCGCGCCGCCCAGCTGGAGACGCAGATAGAGCAGCAGAAACAGAATGTGAAGCCGACCAGCTTGTTCTCTACTGGGATCCAGATCGTAAGTGAATCACTTTGGGTCTTTTTGGTATTAATTGAGCCTGGAAAAGGCTGGGAAATTATATTTTCTTTCTTTTGTCTAAATGTTGTCGTTCCTTCCTTCTTTCCTACCTTCCTTGGTATTCTTCCTTTATTTCCTTTTTTTCTTCCATGTTTTATTAATTTCTTTCTTGTGTCCTTTCTCTATCCCTCCATGGCTTCTTTCCTTCCTTCCTTCCTTCCTTCCTTCCTTCC